GACCGGGTGGGTGTACACAGAGGACCGGGTGGGTGTACACAGAGGACCGGGTGGGTGTACACAGAGGACCTGGTGGGTGTACACAGAGGACCTGGTGGGTGTACACAGAGGACCGGGTGGGTGTACACAGAGGACCGGGTGGGTGTACACACAGGACCTGGTGGGTGTACACACAGGACCGGGTGGGTGTACACAGAGGACCTGGTGGGTGTACACAGAGGACCTGGTGGGTGTACACAGAGGACCGGGTGGGTGTACACAGAGGACCGGGTGGGTGTACACAGAGGACCTGGTGGGTGTACACACAGGACCTGGTGGGTGTACACAGAGGACCTGGTGGGTGTACACAGAGGACCTGGTGGGTGTACACACAGGACCTGGTGGGTGTACACACAGGACCTGGTGGGTGTACACAGAGGACCTGGTGGGTGTACACAGAGGACCGGGTGGGTGTACACAGAGGACCTGGTGGTTGTAAACAGGACCTGGTGGGTGTACACACAGGACCTGGTGGGTGTACACAGAGGACCTGGTGGGTGTACACAGAGGACCTGGTGGTTGTAAACAGGACCTGGTGGGTGTACACAGAGGACCTGGTGGGTGTACACAGAGGACCTGGTGGGTGTACACACAGGACCTGGTGGGTGTACACACAGGACCTGGTGGGTGTACACAGAGGACCTGGTGGGTGTACACAGAGGACCTGGTGGGTGTACACACAGGACCTGGTGGGTGTACACAGAGGACCTGGTGGGTGTACACAGAGGACCGGGTGGGTGTACACAGAGGACCTGGTGGTTGTAAACAGGACCTCGTGGGTGTACACAGAGGACCTGGTGGGTGTACACACAGGACCTGGTGGGTGTACACAGAGGACCTGGTGGGTGTACACAGAGGACCTGGTGGTTGTAAACAGGACCTGGTGGGTGTACACAGAGGACCTGGTGGGTGTACACAGAGGACCTGGTGGGTGTACACAGAGGACCTGGTGGGTGTACACACAGGACCTGGTGGGTGTACACACAGGACCTGGTGGGTGTACACAGAGGACCTGGTGGTTGTAAACAGGACCTGGTGGGTGTACACAGAGGACCTGGTGGGTGTACACAGAGGACCTGGTGGGTGTACACACAGGACCTGGTGGGTGTACACAGAGGACCTGGTGGGTGTACACACAGGACCTGGTGGGTGTACACAGAGGACCTGGTGGGTGTACACACAGGACCTGGTGGGTGTACACAGAGGACCTGGTGGGTGTACACACAGGACCGGGTGGGTGTACACACAGGACCTGGTGGGTGTACACAGAGGACCTGGTGGGTGTACACAGGACCTGGTGGGTGTACACAGAGGACCTGGTGGGTGTACACAGAGGACCGGGTGGGTGTACACAGGACCTGGCGGGTGTACACAGGACCTGGTGGGTGTACACAGAGGACCGGGTGGGTGTACACACAGGACCTGGTGGGTGTACACAGAGGACCTGGTGGGTGTACACAGGACCTGGTGGGTGTACACAGAGGACCTGGTGGGTGTACACAGAGGACCTGGTGGGTGTACACAGGACCTGGTGGGTGTAAACAGGACCGGGTTTGTGTAAACAGGACCTGGGTGGTGTAAACAGGACCTGGTGGGTGTAAACAGGACCTGGTGGTTTAAACAGGACCTGGGTGGTGTAAACAGGACCTGGTGGGTGTAAACAGGACCTGGTGGGTGTACACAGGACCTGGTGGGTGTACACAGGACCTGGTGGGTGTAAACAGGACCGGGTTTGTGTAAACAGGACCTGGGTGGTGTAAACAGGACCTGGTGGGTGTAAACAGGACCTGGTGGTTTAAACAGGACCTGGGTGGTGTAAACAGGACCTGGTGGGTGTAAACAGGACCTGGTGGGTGTACACAGGATCTGGCGGGTGTACACAGGACCTGGCGGGTGTACACAGGACCTGGTGGGTGTACACAGGACCTGGTGGGTGTACACAGGATCTGGCGGGTGTACACAGGACCGGGTGGGTGTACACAGGACCTGGCGGGTGTACACAGGACCTGGTAGGTGTACACAGGACCTGGCGGGTGTACACAGAGGACCTGGTGGGTGTACACAGGACCTGGTGGGTGTACACAGGACCTGGTGGGTGTACACAGGACCTGGCGGGTGTACACAGGATCTGGCGGGTGTACACAGGACCTGGCGGGTGTACACAGGACCTGGTGGGTGTACACAGGACCTGGTGGGTGTACACAGGATCTGGCGGGTGTACACAGGACCGGGTGGGTGTACACAGGACCTGGCGGGTGTACACAGGACCTGGTAGGTGTACACAGGACCTGGTAGGTGTACACAGGACCTGGCGGGTGTACACAGGACCTGGTGGGTGTACACAGGACCTGGTGGGTGTACACAGGACCTGGCGGGTGTACACAGGATCTGGCGGGTGTACACAGGACCTGGCGGGTGTACACAGGACCTGGTGGGTGTACACAGGACCTGGTGGGTGTAAACAGGACCTGGTGGTTTAAACAGGACCTGGGTGGTGTAAACAGGACCTGGTGGGTGTAAACAGGACCTGGTGGGTGTACACAGGACCTGGTGGGTGTACACAGGACCTGGTGGGTGTAAACAGGACCGGGTTTGTGTAAACAGGACCTGGGTGGTGTAAACAGGACCTGGTGGGTGTAAACAGGACCTGGTGGTTTAAACAGGACCTGGGTGGTGTAAACAGGACCTGGTGGGTGTAAACAGGACCTGGTGGGTGTACACAGGATCTGGCGGGTGTACACAGGACCTGGCGGGTGTACACAGGACCTGGTGGGTGTACACAGGACCTGGTGGGTGTACACAGGATCTGGCGGGTGTACACAGGACCGGGTGGGTGTACACAGGACCTGGCGGGTGTACACAGGACCTGGTAGGTGTACACAGGACCTGGCGGGTGTACACAGAGGACCTGGTGGGTGTACACAGGACCTGGTGGGTGTACACAGGACCTGGTGGGTGTACACAGGACCTGGCGGGTGTACACAGGACCTGGCGGGTGTACACAGGACCTGGTGGGTGTACACAGGACCTGGTGGGTGTACACAGGATCTGGCGGGTGTACACAGGACCGGGTGGGTGTACACAGGACCTGGCGGGTGTACACAGGACCTGGTAGGTGTACACAGGACCTGGTAGGTGTACACAGGACCTGGCGGGTGTACACAGGACCTGGTGGGTGTACACAGGACCTGGTGGGTGTACACAGGACCTGGCGGGTGTACACAGGATCTGGCGGGTGTACACAGGACCTGGCGGGTGTACACAGGACCTGGTGGGTGTACACAGGACCTGGTGGGTGTACACAGGACCTGGTGGGTGTACACAGGATCTGGCGGGTGTACACAGGACCTGGTGGGTGTACACAGGACCTGGCGGGTGTACACAGGACCTGGTGGGTGTACACAGGACCTGGCGGGTGTACACAGGACCTGGCGGTGTAAACAGGACCTGGTGGTTTAAACAGGACCTGGGTGGTGTAAACAGGACCTGGTGGGTGTAAACAGGACCTGGTGGGTGTAAACAGGACCTGGCGGGTGTACACAGGACCTGGCGGGTGTACACAGGACCGGGTGGGTGTACACAGGACCTGGTGGGTGTACACAGGACCTGGCGGGTGTACACAGGATCTGGCGGGTGTACACAGGACCTGGCGGGTGTACACAGGACCTGGTGGGTGTACACAGGACCTGGCGGGTGTACACAGGACCTGGCGGGTGTACACAGGATCTGGCGGGTGTACACAGGACCTGGCGGGTGTACACAGGACCTGGCGGGTGTACACAGGACCTGGCGGGTGTACACAGGACCGGGTGGGTGTACACAGGACCGGGTGGGTGTACACAGGACCGGGTGGGTGTACACAGGATCTGGCGGGTGTACACAGGACCTGGCGGGTGTACACAGGACCTGGTGGTGTAAACAGGACCTGGTGGTTTAAACAGGACCTGGGTGGTGTAAACAGGACCTGGTGGGTGTAAACAGGACCTGGTGGGTGTAAACAGGACCTGGCGGGTGTACACAGGACCTGGCGGGTGTACACAGGACCGGGTGGGTGTACACAGGACCTGGTGGGTGTACACAGGACCGGGTGGGTGTACACAGGACCTGGTGGGTGTACACAGGACCGGGTGGGTGTACACAGGACCGGGTGGGTGTACACAGGACCGGGTGGGTGTACACAGGATCTGGCGGGTGTACACAGGACCTGGCGGGTGTACACAGGACCTGGTGGTGTAAACAGGACCTGGTGGTTTAAACAGGACCTGGGTGGTGTAAACAGGACCTGGTGGGTGTAAACAGGACCTGGTGGGTGTAAACAGGACCTGGCGGGTGTACACAGGACCTGGCGGGTGTACACAGGACCGGGTGGGTGTACACAGGACCTGGTGGGTGTACACAGGACCGGGTGGGTGTACACAGGACCTGGTGGGTGTACACAGGACCGGGTGGGTGTACACAGGACCGGGTGGGTGTACACAGGACCTGGTGGTGTAAACAGGACCTGGTGGTGTAAACAGGACCTGGTGGTTTAAACAGGACCTGGGTGGTGTAAACAGGACCTGGTGGGTGTAAACAGGACCTGGTGGGTGTAAACAGGACCTGGTGGGTGTAAACAGGACCTGGCGGGTGTACACAGGACCTGGCGGGTGTACACAGGACCTGGCGGGTGTACACAGGACCTGGCGGGTGTACACAGGACCGGGTGGGTGTACACAGGACCTGGTGGTGTAAACAGGACCTGGTGGGTGTAAACAGGACCTGGTGGGGGTAAACAGGACCTGGTGGGTGTACACAGGACCTGGTGGGTGTAAACAGGACCTGGGTGGTGTAAACAGGACCTGGGTGGTGTAAACAGGACCTGGTGGGTGTAAACAGGACCTGGTGGTGTAAACAGGACCTGGCGGGTGTAAACAGGACCGGGTGGGTGTACACAGGACCGGGTGGGTGTAAACAGGACCCACCTTGAGGTTGGTGATGGCCTGACGCGCCTGCTCCAGCTCGTATGAGAGCGCCTTCTCCCTCCTGAGGGCTCGTTCGGTGTCGTCTCTGGCTGCCGCTACGGCAGCACGCACGTCCGAGCCCACCAACATACCCCCCTCCAGCTCCAGCCTGGGAGAGAGACAGAACACCCACGTTAATGGTGTCATGGAGGCATGTTCCTCCCAGGTAGTGATGGGGGAGGGCCTAACATAAATGATTGTAATGACTTAAAATGTAATAAGGAACTACAATCAGGAAGGAAGGACAATCAGGAAGGATGGACAATCAGGAAGGAAGATCAGTATATATGTGGGCCTGCGGGCAGCGGCAAGCAACAGCCTGTTGGACCAAGTTACCACATGTCGAGCCTGGCCTCAGGCCGGGATCGTGGGAGTAGAAGAACTCCCGAAACCCTCCCCAGGTAAGTTACTGGTAATCAATCACCTAATTATACCGACTCTCTCATACAAATTGTCTTAAATTTACATAGTGTAAATCATCATAAAATGTAAACCGCTCTTTAAGGGGCTATAACAATTACTTAAAGACCAGCAAGTAACTCTTACATAGTAAATAGCAGTTACACAATTATATATACATGGGGGAAAGTAAATATTACACACACACACACACACACACACACACACACACACACACACACACACACAGGGGGGGGGAAGGAGAGAGAGAGAGTGAGAGGAGGCGGGGGAGGGTATACCCCAATTCTCCATGTATATAGAGGGAGAGTTTTATTTAATCCTGGACAGTTTTCAGAACTAAAGTATACTTGCTGGTTGGTCAGTAAGGTATTGTGGTGGTCTTAATAACCCCTCCAGAGGTTGATAGGTCTTAAGTCCAACACCAAACTTGCTGGTTGGTCAGTAAGGTATTGTGGTGGTCTTAATAACCCTCCAGAGGTTGATAGGTCTTAAGTCCAACACCAAACTTGCTGGTTGGTCAGTAAGGTATTGTGGTGGTCTTAATAACCCTCCAGAGGTTGATAGGTCTTAAGTCCAACACCAAACTTGCTGGTTGGTCAGTAAGGTATTGTGGTGGTCTTAATAACCCCTCCAGAGGTTGATAGGTCTTAAGTCCAACACCAAACTTGCTGGTTGGTCAGTAAGGTATTGTCGTGGTCTTAATAACCCTCCAGAGGTTGATAGGTCTTAAGTCCAACACCAAACTTGCTGGTTGGTCAGTAAGGTATTGTGGTGGTCTTAATAACCCTCCAGAGGTTGATAGGTCTTAAGTCCAACACCAAACTTGCTGGTTGGTCAGTAAGGTATTGTGGTGGTCTTAATAACCCTCCAGAGGTTGATAGGTCTTAAGTCCAACACCAAACTTGCTGGTTGGTCAGTAAGGTATTGTGGTGGTCTTAATAACCCTCCAGAGGTTGATAGGTCTTAAGTCCAACACCAAACTTGCTGGTTGGTCAGTAAGGTATTGTGGTGGTCTTAATAACCCTCCAGAGGTTGATAGGTCTTAAGTCCAACAGCCACCCCTACATAGCTACACAAGTAGCAGCAGCAACAGTTGTGCAGACAGTAACAGTAAGAGAAAATATAAAAATGAGAAGTAAAAGCAAGAAAAATGACAGGTTGGATAACAAGAACTTTTCACCCTAGAGATGCTATACCGATGATGATACTTTTCAAGACGCTAGTGCTCTCTAGAGTGGAGTACTGCTGCACAATGACAGCACCTTTCAAAGCTGGAGAAATTGCTGACCTGGAGAGCGTGCAGAGATCCTTTACTGCTAGAATCCACTCAGTAAAACATCTAAACTATTGGGACCGACTAAAGAGCCTAAAACTGTACTCCCTTGAGCGCAGGCGGGAGAGATACATAATAATTTACACGTGGAAAATAATTGAGGGGCTGGTCCCAAACCTGCACACAGAAATAACATCACATGAGACCAGAAGACATGGCAGGATGTGCAGAATACCCCCGTTGAAAAACAGAGGTGCAACAGGTACTCTGAGAGAGAACTATCAATATCAGAGGCCCGAGACTGTTCAACACGCTTCCGCTACACATAAGGGGCATAACTGGCCGACCCCTCACAGTGTTCAAGAGAGAACTATCAACATCAGAGGCCCGAGACTGTTCAACACGCTTCCACTACGCATAAGGGACATAACTGGCAGACCCCTCACAGTGTTCAAGAGAGAACTATCAACATCAGAGGCCCGAGACTGTTCAACACGCTTCCACTACACATAAGGGACATAACTGGCAGACCCCTCACAGTGTTCAAGAGAGAACTGGATAAACACCTCCAAAGGATACTTAATCAACCAGGCTGCGAGTCACACCTCAGGCTGCGAGCTGCCGAGTTCAACAGCCTGGTTGATCATACCATCCACCAGGAGGCCTGGTCTGGTAACAGAAATCCAGCTATGTAATCCGTCCCAATTACCCGGTGGTGGCTACATTATACCAAGGCTATATACAGACCGCGTCATCACACAACGGCGGCCAATATGGCGGGAAGAGCCGGCCACCCGATGCCCACAGCGGTTATATTTGTCATAAAAAAAATTATTTATAATATAATTTATCAATAATTAACAAAATATTTGTCAATAATTAACACCGATCACAGCCCATCACTCGACCCCCCTCCCCCCCCCCCACACACATTGTGTGTCATTAAGGGGGGCTGGTGGCTGAGTGGACAGCATTCTAGACTCGTGGACCTAGGGACCGGGGTGCGATCCCCCGGCACCGGAGGAAAAACAAATGGGCAGAGTTTCATTCACCCTGATGCACCTGTTCACCTAACAGTAAACAGGTACCTGGGAGTTAGACAGCTGTTACGAGCTGCTTCCTGGGGGGGGGGTGAAAAAAAATACAATAAATAATAGTTAGTAGTTAGTAACAATTGATTGACAGTCGAGAGGCGGGCCGATAGAGCAGAGCTCAACCAGGGACATGATCACTACATTCAAGATTCTCAAGGGAATTGAGAGGGTAGATAAAGACAAGCTGTTTAACACAAGGGGAACACGCACAAGGGGACACAGGTGGAAACTGAGTGCCCAAATGAGCCACAGAGATATTAGAAAGAACTTTTTCAGTGTCAGAGTAGTTAACGGATGGAATGCATTAGGCAGTGATGTGGTGGAGGCTGACTCCATACACAGTTTCAACTGTAGATATGATAGAGCCCAATAGGCTCAGGAACCTGTACACCAGTTGATTGATTGATTGACACACACAGTCAACCATCTCAGAAATTCTCTTATCACCCGCTCATGACGGGTGATAAGAGAATTTCTGGGGCAGAAATTATTTCAAATCAACAAAATTATATCTAAACTCTCCATAAAATGATTTCATTACATGTTAAAAATATTTGGTATGAAACCAACTTTTATATTTGACGAGTAATTATTCATGAAAACATTAAAATCAATGCAGTTACTTGGAAAAAATATGTTGGTTTGTAGCTTAGTATTTTAGTGGGCGACACAGTCGGTTCGCAACCAAGTGGTCCAGGTTCGATACCCGGAGCAGGAAGTTTCCTTTCAATTGATGTCTCTGTTTACCTAACACCGGGTCCTCCCCGACCACAACACACCTGCCCCTCCCCCAACCCACACCACACCTGCCCCTCCCCCAACCCACGCCACACCTGCCCCTCCTCCACACCCACACCACACCTGCTCCTCCACACCCACAACACACCTGCCCCTGCCCCCCCTCCACACCCACAACACACCTGCTACTCCACACCCACAACACACCTGCTCCTCCACACCCACAACACACCTGGACCACAGAGACGAGGCCAGTCTCTAACACTGGTTCATCTCTAACTTCATAAAATGCAAATTAAATATATGTAAATCTCCGTAGCGACGGGGTAGGACATGTGCATATTTATGTAGAGAGAACCAAAGGCCAAACGTCCGACCACTCTGAAGCCATCAGTCCAATTTAGTAATTCATTTGGGGACATGCAGCCCCTGTGTGTGTGTGTGTGTGTGTGTGTGTGTGTGTGTGTGTGTGTGTGTGTGTGTGTGTCTGTGTGTGTGTGTGTGTGTGTGTGTGTGTGTGTGTGTGTGTGTGTGTGTGTCTGTGTGTGTGTGTCTGTGTGTGTGTCTGTGTGTGTGTGTCTATGTGTGTGTGTGTGTGTGTGTGTGTCTGTGTGTGTGTCTGTGTGTGTGTGTCTATGTGTGTGTCTGTGTGTGTGTCTATGTGTGTGTCTGTGTGTGTGTCTATGTGTGTGTCTGTGTGTGTGTCTATGTGTGTGTGTCTGTGTGTCTGTGTGTGTGTGTCTGTGTGTGTGTGTGTGTGTGTGTGTGTCTGTGTGTCTGTGTGTGTGTGTGTCTGTGTGTGTGTCTGTGTGTGTGTCTGTGTGTGTGTGTCTGTGTGTGTGTGTCTGTGTGTGTGTGTGTGTACACACGTTGTACTAAATACTTGTACACCACTCCAAGGTGATGTGTGGTAAACCTAATGTATAGTTTACCGTTATATGTATATGTTGTATATGTACACCATTAGGACAGCGAGGCACATATTGGTAAACTGATTAGTTAAAAGAAGACTAGATAATGGGCTCGTGTAAACTAATCACTCAATCCTAAGGGTTCCCCAGGTGTGGGTGGAGGCCCCCTTAACAGTCTACTAACCTCCGGGGGTCCATTAACCGTCTGGTGACAGTTAATGGACCCCTGGAAGAGGTAAGAGGTAATAGATGTTTGATCCTCGAGGGAGCAAACGAGAAGACTGACTCGCACGATAATACTCTCCTGCCGAGGGAATGGAACCCGGGACCATTAGGTTGTGAACCGACTGGGAACAATCACTGTTAAACTGGTTATACTACAATCAAGACTATTATATGGTATAACCAAACTGGATATATCTCTGGAGGGTTATTAACACTGCTACAATACCTTACTGACCAACCAGCAAGTTTGGTGTTGGACTTAAGACCTATCAACCTCTGGAGGGGTTATTAAGACCACCACAATACCTTACTGACCAACCAACAAGTTTGGTGTTGGACTTAAGACCTATCAACCTCTGGAGGGTTATTAAGACCACCACAATACCTTACTGACCAACCAGCAAGTTTGGTGTTGGACTTAAGACCTACCAACCTCTGGAGGGTTATTAAGACCACCACAATACCTTACTGACCAACCAGCAAGTTTGGTGTTGGACTTAAGACCTACCAACCTCTGGAGGGGTTATTAAGACCACCACAATACCTTACTGACCAACCAGCAAGTTTGGTGTTGGACTTAAGACCTATCAACCTCTGGAGGGTTATTAAGACCACCACAATACCTTACTGACTAACCAGCAAGTTTGGTGTTGGACTTAAGACCTACCAACCTCTGGAGGGTTATTAAGACCACCACAATACCTTACTGACCAACCAGCAAGTTTGGTGTTGGACTTAAGACCTACCAACCTCTGGAGGGTTATTAAGACCACCACAATACCTTACTGACCAACCAGCAAGTTTGGTGTTGGACTTAAGACCTATCAACCTCTGGAGGGGTTATTAAGACCACCACAATACCTTACTGACCAACCAGCAAGTTTGGTGTTGGACTTAAGACCTATCAACCTCTGGAGGGTTATTAAGACCACCACAATACCTTACTGACCAACCAGCAAGTTTGGTGTTGGACTTAAGACCTATCAACCTCTGGAGGGTTATTAAGACCACCACAATACCTTACTGACCAACCAGCAAGTTTGGTGTTGGACTTAAGACCTATCAACCTCTGGAGGGTTATTAAGACCACCACAATACCTTACTGACCAACCAACAAGTTTGGTGTTGGACTTAAGACCTATCAACCTCTGGAGGGTTATTAAGACCACCACAATACCTTACTGACCAACCAGCAAGTTTGGTGTTGGACTTAAGACCTATCAACCTCTGGAGGGTTATTAAGACCACCACAATACCTTACTGACCAACCAGCAAGTTTGGTGTTGGACTTAAGACCTATTAACCTCTGGAGGGTTATTAAGACCACCACAATACCTTACTGACCAACCAGCAAGTTTGGTGTTGGACTTAAGACCTACCAACCTCTGGAGGGTTATTAAGACCACCCCAATACCTTACTGACCAACCAGCAAGTTTGGTGTTGGACTTAAGACCTACCAACCTCTGGAGGGTTATTAAGACCACCACAATACCTTTCTGACTAACCAAAAAGTATACTTTAATCTCAAACAAATTCCAAAAATGAAGTACACTCAGAATACAGAATAAACCCCAAGAATTGAGGTAAACCTCGATATGTATACTATACCCGGTTGAATGTAGACCATTTTAATTAGTTTTATTAGTTAGTTAATGAGTGGGGAGAAGGGTAGGTAGAGGCACTGACCGTCTCTTAAGATTATCACACTCCAGCTTCCAGTAGTGGGCCTGGCCGGCCTCCGCCTCCATCTCGCGCAGTCTCCCCAGCTCCGCCTCGTACTGACAAAGAAAACCAAACCATAGAGCATTGGGTCATCTAATTATGGGTGACTACAGTATATAGGCTAGAGCACGGACATCCGGATGATGCCTAGCAATTTATTGTCCTAGCTATGTCCTAGCTATGCAGGACAGCATAGCAATTTATTTGTACTGTACTGTGTGTATGTGTGTGTGTATTATTTATATATATTTATATATATTTAGATATATTTATATATATATTAAATATATTAATCAATCAAACTTAATCTTAAACTTAAGACTTAAAACAGTCTTAATCAAACTAGAAATGCTCTGCAAATCAAGGGGCCCAGAATGTGGAATGACCTTCCCAACCATGTTAAAGACTGTCCCTCTCTCAACCAGTTTAAGATAAAAACTAAACACTACCTAATAAATTCCCTGTAATCTACCTCACTCCTCTATTGTCAACCCATGTCTGTTATTTTCTTTTTTTTTTCTTTTTTGTAATCAACACTGTTTGTCAACCTATTGTATTTGTGCTGCTTTTTCAGTCATGTTCCCCCTTTTTTTTTATCTTTATTTGTATTTGTTCTCAACATCTTTTATTCTTTATGCTCAATTAGTATTAAGTTCTAGATATTAATGTTTTTCTTGCCCGAAACGCATTGCGTAATAGTGGCTTTAGGCATTGTATGTACTAGCTCTATCTATATATCAATCCATTAATGTAACATCACTTGTATGTATATACCTTACCTGAATAAACATCTGAATCTGAATCTGAATATTTATATATATTTATATAAGTATTTCTTGGTAGCAGTCTCTTGTAAGCATTGTTGTTGAATATGACCGAAAGGGTAAGATTGATTAATTCTAATACGAATCTTCTCAACATTTCTTGTTTTTCTTCACTGTCGAGGGTAGTTGAAAAATTAACTCCCCAAAGTTTATTTCCACACTTTATTTATGATCTGACGCCTAGAAGTGTTTTGGAAGACACTTCTTACATTTTCAAAGAAAATTTTACATACTCCATTTAATGCTTATATTGGTTTTTGGGGCGAGGTGATAGGACATGAATCAATGGGTACATTGTTTTATCTTCTCGTTTCTGCATTGGTTAGGGGTCTTGAAGTGGGTAGAATGTAATTATGTGTTAATTGGCTGTTGATTGGTGGTTTTGAATTTTTTATGTGTAGGGCCTCATTCATGTCGAGTCTCCTGTTGTCGTTGTATATGTCTATAATTTCTGTGTTGCTTGCTAAGAGTTCTCTGGTGATGGTCTGGTTGTAGGAGGAAACTATATGCTCCTTGATGGAGCCCTGTTCTTGTGCATTGTTAATCACCTTGAAAGAGACGTTGTCGTCTTGCCTATATACTGAGATCTTTGGAGCTGACAGTCCCCCCAAGTGGGCATGTGAAGGCATAGACGACGTTGGTCTCCTTGAAGATGTTCTGTTTGGTGTCTGGAGAGTTCTTCATGAGTAGGTTCGCCATTTTCTTGTTTTTGTTGTAAATTGTCAATTGTATCTTCTGATTTTTGTCTGTAGGAATACCGTTCATATTAATAATATCTTTCAGGACCCTTTTCTCCGTTTTATGAACCGTCGAAAAGAAGTTCCCGTAAAACAGTCTAATAGGGGGTACAGGTGATGTGTTAGTTGACTCTTCAGAGGTTGCATGGCGTTTCACCTTTCTTTTCATGATGTCTTCAACATAACCGTTAGAGAAGCCATTGTTGACCTGCCTTACCCTACATGGTTCATCGACTTGCTTCCAACCAGAGCTCACTACTGTGAGTGAGAGCTCGGTTGACGTAAGCGTTGACAACACTCCTCTTGTACCTGTCTGGGAAGTCACTATTGGCATTAAGGCACATTCCTATGTTCGTTTCCTTAGTGTAGACTGCAGTGTGGAAGCCACTAATCCTTTCCGTGACTGTTACATCTAGAAAGGGCAGCTTCCCATCACTCTCCATCTCGTAAATGAAACTTAACACCTAATTTTGCTCGAATGCCTCCTTCAGCTGCTGCAAACGTCTGATATTAGGTCCCTGCATAATATGTAGTCAACATACCTGAAGTATATTGGCGGGTTTCAAGTCCATATCAACTAAGACCCTCTGCTCTATGGTGCCCGTGTAGAAGTTAGCAAACAGGACACCTAGGGAATTGTGAGCCTAGAACCCATGGCGACCCCATCTACATGTTTATACATGTGCCCATCGGGACTCAAGAAGGGTGCCTCTTTAGTGCAGACTTGGAGTAACTTCCTCGGTATGCTCTCGGGTATGTCCATATATCGTGATCCGGCGTGTACCCCTCTAGACATACCAGAGAGCATACTAAGGAGTTTACTCCAAGCCTGCACTAAAGAGTCGCCCTTCTTGCATGTAGACCATTTTTGAGGGCCTCAGCAAGTGTTTGCTGATGATGCTAAAATTATGAGAGGGCTTAAGACAGAGGAGGACAGCAAGAGGCTACAGGATGACCTGGACAGACTGAAGATATGGTCCAACAAATGGCTACTAGAGCTTAACTCGAGCAATTGCAAAGTGATGAAGATAGGTATAGGGAGCAGGAGGCCAAACAAATGGTTCCAATTGGGAGATAAAATCCTTCAGTAGTCAAGACAAAAGAAAAATCTATGGGTTGATATCACACCAGACCTGTCTTCAGCAGCCCACATCAAAAGGATAACATCAGCGGCGTATGTAAGGCTGGCGACCATAAAAACTGCCTTCAGAAACGTGTGTAAGGAATCATTCAGAACTTTGTATACCACATATGTCAGACCAATACTGGAGTATGCGGCTCCAGACTGGAATCCACATCTAGTCAAACACAAAACGAACTTGGAAAAGGTTCAGTGGTATGCCACCAGGCATATCCTGAGTTGAGAGGAATGAGCTATCAGGAACAAAATACTGGAAGTAAACATCACGACATTGGACGACAGAAGAGTAGGAGACATGATCACTACCTACAAAATTCTCAGAGGAATTGACAGGGGTAGATATGGATAAACTGTTTAACACGGGTGGTACGCAAACAAGTGGACACAGGTGCAAGCTGAGTATCCAAATGAGCCACAGTGACATTAGAAAGAACTTTCAGTATTTTTTTAGTTTTGCCCCGAGGGGCAAGATTTTTAGACAGCGCCACTCATCCTGTGAGTGGACACACCGCCATAGTGACAGTATTGGGCAGCGCCACTCATCCTGTGAGTGGACACACCGCCATAGTGACAGTATTGGGCAGCGCCACTCATCCTGTGAGTGGACACACCGCCATAGTGACAGTATTGGGCAGCGTCACTCATCCTGTGAGTGGACACACCGCCATAGTGACAGTATTGGGCAGCGCCACTCATCCTGTGAGTGGACACACCGCCATAGTGACAGTATTGGGCAGCGTCACTCATCCTGTGAGTGGACACACCACCATAGTGACAGTATTGGGCAGCGCCACTCATCCTGTGAGTGGACACACCGCCATAGTGACAGTATTGGGCAGCGTCACTCATCCTGTGAGTGGACACACCGCCATAGTGACAGTATTGGGCAGCGTCACTCATCCTGTGAGTGGACACACCGCCATAGTGACAGTATTGGGCAGCGCCACTCATCCTGTGAGTGGACACACCACCATAGCAGCATGTACAACACTCCCCAATAGGAAGAAAACCCGCTTGATTGCTCATCATGTCACTTGTATCCAGACACAGCTGCGACTTAACTGTCTAAAGTGAACAGCTCCTCAAACAAGAAGATTAACATTTGTCAACCCTTAAAACTTTACGTTATCTTGTGAGTGCAAAATGGGGGAATCTTTTAAGAACAGTATTTGACATTAGTATTTTTCTAAGTCAATGTGGGGTTTATTATTCTACACATATTTCTAATGAGTGTTAAATGTTCACATTCTCTCAGGTAGTAAAGGCGGTGTCCATCACTCATCACAGATTCTGCAACTCCGCTGCTTAATTGTCGTTTCCATTCCGAATCTCCATGGATATTTGTATCCAAAACCGATTCTTGCTATTACTGATTCTCTCATGCGGCACTGGGGTTGTTTTTCTATCCTCCTTTCTTCAGTATCCTTGTCATAGTGATGTTGCCTGACAATACCTCTAATTTGTAGTAGAGTCTTGGGTATGAAGTATTCAATATGGTCTCCTTCAGCGCCTTCAGCAGCCAGCACATCTGCTCGTTCATTCCCACATCTTCCAACATGGGAGGGGAGCCCCAACATGGGAGGGGCTCCCCAACATGGGAGGGGATCCCCAACATGGGAGGGGATCCACAGAAACTTGACGACTCTTCCCTGATTGGTTAGTACTCTCACAGCTCTCTTGATTTCAGCGAACATCGCAAGATTTTCTGCCCGATTTTTACTAAGGCTTTGTAGTGCGGCTTTTGAATCAGTGCAGATCACTGCACCGTTAGTGTTTCGTTCAAGGGATCTAAACACCATAACAATGGCAGTTAGCTCTGCTTGTATTGAAGAGGCATAGTTCTCAATACGTGCTTTTTCTTTACTCGAGTTTCGAAAGGAATTATTCCTAATTACAGTGTATGCTGCACCAGCTCTGCCATTGGTAGGATTAGATGACCCGTCAGTGTAGATTTGATCTAATTCGTTCCTGGCTCCTTTAAAAATTTCCTCAAGATACTTATGCCTCATTTCTTGTATTATGTTGGGCATTTTCATTGCCATCTCATTGATGACGCTGCTGCATGAGTCATCCTCCCAGGGAGGTAGCCTCTCTACAGGCAGGAGCTCACGGGCTTGCTCAAGCAGGTGAAGCTCTTCAAGGTAGCAGACTGATCTGTGATGCCATTTTTTGCTTTTCCTGTTTACCCCTGAAAGTAGCACAGAACTCTGAATTTTCTTGGCAAGATTATTGTAATGGGGATCTCTGGCTTAGCATTCAGTTCCTCAATTCTGCTTTTAACACTGGGGAGGGACAACTCCTCTCATAGATTAAACGTTTTGGCAGTTCTTGGGACTCCAAGAATGACTGTCATG